AGTACGACCACCAGGTAAGAGTTTACAGAATATTCAGGTGTTCTTAGCACTCACTCTTCAAGGCTTGTCGAGCGGGAGTCAGTTAATTCTGGAAAGAGACTAGACGCGTCAATTAATCGCGGTTGTACAGGTCTCGAAAGGGTCGAGGCGCACCACATGGTCGCACGCACCCAAGGTGAGCAATCTTGTGGCTGCAAATCCTCATACTCTAATCCTTTCGGAAGAAGAAAAGAAGGAAAGTGCCTGAACGCAGCGCCGGCGATCGTGAACTGCCGCCCGTACGCTCACTATGCAATGTTCACTCATCCTCTGCCTGAAACCTTCGCCAGGCCAAACGTCAAAAATTGGACCGTAGCACGGTCCAAGATGCCAAGCCGCGTAAAGGGCCACCCGTGCGTACCATATTTGTTCTCATGTCAATTTCACTAAATATGAAGCTATCCAGAAGCCATCGCCGGATGTGAGAAATCAACGCCGGCAAGTCAATAACGCCAAGCGGCGGCAACATTACAGTGCTAAAAAGAAAGAATTTGTTCGGAGTGCCGAGAAACAGAACTGTATGGCTGAGGTTCTCATCTCCATCCTTGGCAAGCTTTTAAATACGCTAGTCGTGGTGTCCGCTGCTATTATCCCTCCACCGACCTCTGACGTTGAACTGGTGCTCTCGGTGGACGCCGTTATGCGCTCGCAACTGTCTTTGGCTACCATTCAAGCTGATCTCCCCTTCCGCCACCGGCTTGCTCCAGTCGCACCGCTCTTGCGCGCCCTTCTCCTTGACCCTCTGCATTTCGATTCAGCGCCATGGGTCAAAAATGGTCTGTTGGTCGAGGACACCGGCCAAGTCATTCCCAAGAAAACTGCACGGTTGTACCTGCAAATAGCCAGCATTCCCGCAGACTCAGTGGCCGGCTTCATCGGTGGCGGGATGCAGCGCCGACCCAGCGACATCGCATGGCTGGCGGCTGTGGCGCTGTGCTACGGACTCGGCACCAAGCAAATTTCTCGATTTGCGCGTGATGCGTTAGACCATTATAACCTCGCTCACACTGCTGCTGCTGTCGAGGCCGCCATCAACCACCTTTGTCTACCGGAGCATGCCGCAAACATGGGAAATACAGACTCGGACCTGTCGCTCGTATACGGCGGCATTACTATTAGTAGCACACCCTTGGCGCGCCTTGAAGACGATCTACAGTCCAGCGCGCACGCCAGGTTTATCAACATCGGCGCACGGTTGCGATGGAGGGCCTTCCATATCCCTGGGATGGATGAAGCTGCACTGAACGGTCCTTTGGACTTTCGTCGCTTGCCCCAGATCAGCCGCTGGGAGGGGCTTGTTGTTAACTGCCTGCTGAGCCTTGGTATCAATACAACACCTGGTGGAAGCTGGATCCCCATGTTCATACCCAGCTCAGAATCCTCCCTCCTTGTTGAAAGCGCCGTCACATCCTTACCCGCCTACCCATCTGCACCCGAAGGTCTGGACAACCCTCGCTATCAGAAATTGACCACCCTTCTCGATGAGGAGTACCGCTTTTGGCCCACGGAAGAAGTCTGCGTACCAGAAGCGTTGGCATCTATCAAGTTCAACATGATCGAGACTGCTTGGACAGTACGCGGTACGGTTGTGAATGTGACTGTCGCGGAGGATATAACAAAAGAGGAGCGAGACGGTAGAATTGGTGGTATCGAGAGCGACACGGCTGGCCCTGCCATGAAGGAGGCTGCACATACTCTCTCACTCGTGCGTCCCTCTGCCGATTTCAGCACCATCTCCGACCTTCGCCAATACCATGGTGCGTTCGCCGACCTGTACAGGATGATCGAGCCGACGCAACGCGCTCCACACCTCGCAATCCTTAGCCGTTTGCTTGTCGTCCTTGGCCCAGCGATGGTCGTGGGGTGGTCCAACACTATCGACCATGCCTTCACTCACTTGGAGCTCCGCGAGGTGTTTGATACAGCAGATTTGCATGCTACACGGGATTTCTTGGCTGGCAACACCACTCTTGTCTCTGATGTCGTCCCCTGCTCGTACCGCTATCCAGACTTGGTAGAGTCCGAGCACGGCTACTGGGACCGGGTGGGGAAACCTTTCGTCTCCTTCCATGGCCCCGACCCTTGCTCTGCCCACATCCACATTTCCTTGCCACACTTTGGAGCGCCAAAGCATGACCCACATATCGCGAACGAGCTTCGTGAATGGAATTTCGTCGCATTAGGTGGTGTTGTAGAGCCGTCCAAAGCCATTATCGCCGCCGACTTGCTTGCGCGGGGACCGCTGGACCGGAGCGATCCGACAGCTCTCCGAATCCGTCTTCTGCAACTCAAGGGCAAGATTGAGGAGCACATCGTCAACTCTGGTGTTGGCGCTGCGCTCGAACGGCTCAAGAAAGCTTATTTGGAGAAAAAGAGCGGGCTGATGATGCTTTGTATGCTTCATCACAGCAGCGTGACCGCTCAGCGCGACGAGCAGAGCAGTACATGTCCCAGCGAGGAGGAGGAGGATGCAGCGGCCGAGTTGGAAGCTCAGCAGCGTGTCCACAAGGGAGTGGTAGCAGCTACCGGTGAAGCGGCTCGTCTGGAGCAGCTCATGGCTTTGAAGGCAGAGGCTCTGAAGGCGCAGGAGGATGGACGTCCGGTGGACCCCGCAGGTTATGCACCGTTCGGAAAGCCGATTGGCTCGCCTGCTTTCGACACCCATTTCCTCAAGTTGAATGACGGACAGGTGCTTGTCAACGCGTCCCGCCTCTATGGGTGAACTGCCGCAGCCAACGATGCACAGCTGCGCAACCAAGCTCACATCAGCGAGGTCAGCCATGCCGCCGCCGTCCTCCGACACACGCACGACGACACTGGCATCAGCCCCGCAATGCAGACTGAGCGCACGGATCGCCGCAAACTGCTTCTTGCTGCTCTCAAAGATGTCCGTGACCCTCGTCGATTCAACCACAAGCCTCTGCTTGACTCGTGGAGATGGGCGGAATGTTCACCGTGCGGAGAGGTCGTAGTCGCCCGCGACAAGAACACGTATCATCGGTGTGCCGCCGTGCTCGAGGGCAGCACCAAGATAACCATAACCGCCACCAACTTCCCTACCCTTCGCCGCATCTGTTTTTCCCATGACATACTGGGCAACCCAAAGTTGGAAACACTGTTACAAGACCCCGCCGACATGGATGCAGCATCGGACGGTCTCGAGCGCAGAGCTGTCTCCACCATCTGCAAGCAGCATCGGCAGGCTCTTGAAAACGCCCTTTCAAGCGAGGCCAACGCCTTTGATTTGGAAAGTGTCGACGAGGCGGTCTTTCTGCCGTCAAGTTTGGCTGGTGAAGCAGACTTGTGGCTGACGCTGGCTGTCGACGTCTTGTTGCGCGTGCAAAACCGTTGCCCATCCGACTGGGAACCACCAACCGCCGAACAGCGTGACCCAAGCGCGTCTTCTGCAGGGGCTCTTACAAACTGGTATCAAAACCGCACCCGTGAGTTTATTTTGAGGTCTTGTCTCTTGCCATGCTGAAAATTTCAGATCACTTGTTCATTTTCAAGTGCAATCAGGGCGGCTATGCCATCATATCGAAACCCAAGGAGCCAGCTTACTACCTGCATACCTGCGAGCATGGACGCGCTCGTCTTCAAGAATATGCGGCTCAGAGGAAAGCCGATTCAAGCCTACCGACTCACATCGTTGGCTACAACTCTGAATTGGGCCCGCGCTGCTGCCCCAACCAGATGTTTCGTCGAGCAGACTCTCTGTTGGACGTCCCGTTCGAGTTTGGTCGTTTTGTGTCGGCAAGGAGCAGGCTCGACGTCGGAAAGGGTGCCAAGAAGAGCGCAAAGTAGTACTGGACGTTGTTTTTCTTACAGAATTTAATCCGCTCAAATTCAAAGCTATTTGAAATTAAATGAAAGCGGCAAGTACAATTTCCTACGGGTAAAAGCTCAATAAAAGGGAAAGAAATTAAAGGATGTGACGAACCTCCTCACTGTCCTCCTCCTCCTGCACGTCTGCTGCTGCCGCTGCGGCCGCCCTTGCCTGGGCCTCGGCAGCTGCCTTTTGCTCAGCCGCCTTCCCCTTCGCCACCTTGTGCTGAACGGGACGTCAACCTAAGCGATGCACAAAGAGAAATGACGAACGACAAGCAAGGCCTGCTGCTCTATGAGCTTTGCTCTCTTTTCTGGAAAAGTTGGCACCGCTGGGCGGTTCGGGTTATTGCGGATGAGGCGCTCATGCATGAATAGCCGCCGTTCGAGCCGATTCAACTCGCCCTCGAGCGCTGCTAGAGTTGGCGTTTTGCGCTAGCAAGAGCAGCAGTGAGCAATCACAACTTGTCTTGCGATGGAGCTGCGCACCATAGGCCTATCGGGATCGTAGCTGCCGCTGCGACGGTATGGGTGATAACTCATGGTGAGGGTAAGGAAAGCGGCCTGTTGGTGTTTGACATGAAAACGTAAAAGTGTCGATTCGCGGTCCAGTGACCGCTGAAACGCGTCCGTGAACCACGTTGAGGGTGTGAAAGAGCGACCCAAAATGTTCTGAGTGGGGCAATCAGCAATTTCTTGACGCAGCATATTTTTTAGGTGAAATGGGCGATCCGGCAAATATTCAAGTGAGGTAGCGCAAATTTGAAGTGCGGCAACTTGTATAACGTGTATGAATAACTTGGCTGGGGAGTCCTCGCTGATGTAAAACACCGACGAGGACTCCAGAATCATGCTGTGGATGCGCCTAGTCGTCAAGAACCCGAGACCAACATCCCGAGCGAGCCATCGCTGCGAAACCGCATACGGGGAGGCGCGATCACCAGACCGCTCACTCGACCCACAGCTTGCATTGAAGCTCAGCAAGTTGACAGACACTCATCGGCCTTTGAATTTCCGAGTGCGTTGAAGAGAGTGTTAGACAGGTTATGTAATCTAACACTCTCTTTAACGCACTCATCGCTCACGTGAACTTTCTCCGTCGCCATGAAGGGCATGTGCAGCGGACTCCAAAGGACGCCTCTTTAGCTCAGTGGTAGAGCGCTGCACTTGTAACTTTCGTACGGTATGCAGCGGTCAGTCGTTCAATCCGGCTAGGAGGCATATTTTTTGGTTTTCCGACTTCTTGGCTAGCCTGCTTTGGACAAACATGTTTTTGGGTCTTATAATAACATGCCACTAGCCGCCGGGGCGCTTCGCGCCCCCGGCGGCGTCAAGTCTCATCCCGCCACCTCTGTAGTAGATGTGTAGCCAGACGACACAAAGGAAATTTTCCTCCAACCTGCAAAAAAAAAAAAAAAAAACAAGATATGTATCCATGCTCGGACAACAGACGCGCTCGGATGTAGCACACCGCCTAAGCCTTCAAGAAATAGGCGGGAGAATGAATGTTTGAGCGCCGTCGACTTGGACTCAGAACACAGGGTCCTCGGCGACGGTCTGCGGCCACATCTGTCGCGAATCAGGATCACTAATAATTGTACGTGGAAGAATGTAGGTGGACTAACAATGTTCACTTGTGGCCGCCGGGGCGCTCCGCGCCACCGGCGGCTTCTAACATTATCCCTTCCCTTTTGCCCTGCGTGCTTACAAGAAAACAGACAGGCCAGTTCGCATTGTACAAGAAGCAAACCCATCGCATGATGCCGCGAAGATGTCGCGAGGTTACCCGTCGGAGAGTGGCTTTCCGTTGGGAGGATGCAGACGAAGAAAGCCCTGCTAGTAGTTAGTCCCTGTTTCAACAAATGCGCTCGAGTATTCAGTGGATACAGCGAGCCTTTCGTGGCAGAATGCTGAAGCGAGAAAACTTCCGAGAGTAAATTCTTTGAGCACCGTTGCAACGGCAGGAAAGAGCACTCAAGTCGCAAGGAGCCAGTGAATATCGATCGCCTATTACAATTCTCTGGGTGGCAGTTCCCTCAAGCTCAGCGGCGCAAAGAAACGGAAGACGTTGGACAGCATTGAAATCTAGAATGTAAACAAGGGAAATAGAGATACTTATTTACAGAACCGCAGTGACTAGACTGAGACGAAACCACCTAGATGGCACCATTCTCGACAAGCTTGCCACAAACGATGTATTTGTTGGAAAAGTGGTCGATCCAGCCTGCAGAGGGATTAATCGTGCGTCTAGTAGCGATGAACGAAGCAAACCTTTCATGTTCTCACTGACAAGTAAACAAGACATTAGGAAAAGTAGTATGCAATAGAAGAGGGACACTGACATCTCGTCCTGCTGGAGGTCGGTGAGTTTGTCGAGCGGTTGGTCGACTGGGGTCAGCATTTCTAGTAGGTGTCAGCGAGGAAGCGCGAAGAAAAATAGCCAATTCAAGTACCCAGGTCAAAGGACTGTTTTGCCATGCCCCGGGACGCATCTCGCCCCGCAAAGTTTCCATACATTCCGTCTGCAGCGCATGAACGAAGAATCGACAATGTACCATGCAAGAGACGCACTAGGACCGTAGAAATTCCTCCCCGCAGTGACATCAAACACAACGCCGTTGATAGCGAGCAGGATACGTCCGCCATCCTTGCCCGAGAACGGCTCCAGAGTCTTGGGGGTGTACGTCTTGTACAAGACGGTGGGTGGGTGAGATTTAGGCATCCATGAGTACCCGGCTTTGAACTCCCGTGGGATGACGGCTGGTTTGGAGACACTAGGGTACACGATACGCTGTACAGAGTACAGGATAAAGAGGAACAGTGCAGTATTCACCGGTGTCCCGAGCTGGAGAGTGAAAGCCATTAGTAACTTGGCTGAGTCGCTGTGACCGAGAAATGTGACCCGCGCTTTACCACTTTCAGCCATTCACCGCAACATCCGCTGCCTCTTTCCCAAGCGCTGGCAGCGTATCCTTCTCGACTCCGATGATAGTACTAAGTATGCATTCCGTTTGTTTTCGGGCGAAATATTCATCTCTCCCTAGATTCCCAAGACGGCGCGACTCCGGGTAGTACGAGTAGCGGTCGGACTCCGCCTGCTGAACCCCTACCAGAGTATACCAGTATAATTTCCTCCGATGCCGGTGTAATTTCTTGTTGACCGACGTCCTAGCTACATAACCTCAAACCGGTCTCAACCCCCGCGTTATTCACGCGTGCGCAGACCCAAGCATCCGCTCACATACACCTTTACTTCTCATCCCTTGGCTATCGACCCAAACTCGATGCTGATGGTCCCGCCAGAACACGCGGACGACCAGGGTCAGTATAGAATAGCGGTATCCCTGAACCTCAATCCCTTCGTTCCGGTCTCTTACCGCACATCTGTGCATCGGGTGGAAGGCGATAGAGAGTCGTTTATTGGGGACTTTGAGTACGTGGACCACCGTGCACAGCATTGGATGCTATCTCTGACTTTTGCCCAGGCTCTCATTGAATCACCGCCGTGCTATTATCACGATCGGGGATATAACGACGCGTCTCTCTAATTGTCTATTCAGCATCCATTCCTCGCCTGTGAGTCCCCAAGCCTCTCCGTCTGTGGTGGCTTGAATATTGTCACAGAGACACTGGACTTGGAGATGGGACGAGATCGGCCTACGGTGGGATTGTCGCACAACGCTCGAAGACGGATCTCCGATGTGTATTGTAAGTGCAACTGCGTATGCAATCCAATAATTATACATACTGTTTCACATAGTGCTACACAATTGCTTCCCATGTGCAACTGGCTTCGTTCGTCCCCCCACCTCTCGACGCACCTCCACCACTGCCAGAAGCAGTGCTTACGGTCTTCCCAGACGGACACGAGTGCTTCGACCATATCCTGTTGTCTGCCCTAATTGTTCAACGCAAGATGGGTCTCGAGTTTTAGGTACATGCTGTTTTTCGTCTATGTGTAACTCTTGTAATTGTTTGTTGGATCACAATGCCGACGCACAGTATTCACCAAGTGTCAAAGCGTGTTAAGAGGCGGAACAATATATTCACGGGATCTGATTGTCTATCAATAGGGGCCCACTGCTCAGTGCTTTGTGCTCGGGCATAGGCTTGGCTCAGGCTCTGCATACTATTCAACTTCGTGCGATGAGATGAAGAGAAGCTCTCATTTCCGACACTATTTGCAAGTGCCTTTCCTCATTGTTATAGCGACATGTCTCTTTGAAGCTCCTGCCAGACACGATCTCGACAAAACAATTGAACTTCAACGAACGGGGCAGGTGAGCAGCTCGGATACAAATGGGTACGGTATGGAATAGAGAAGGAAAGAACCATCGGAATCGGAATGGACACACAATAAAATGGTCTTTCGGGAGTCATCGACGGACGGACAATAATGATTTTGAAGAGGTTACGTAGACCCGCCAGTGGCGTGGAATCAAAAACCCCTTGCGATGATTCCTCTGCACAGTGCTACTGTAACAAAATTCAAGTTGAACCGAAGTTGAACATCAGTGCATCAACCGTAAGGACAAGTTTGGAATGACGCGAAGCGTCCCTGCTTGAAGTCTGCTCTCCAAAAATCTTCACATGCTGCGAGATAGAATTCATTCTCGAATCTGGGACAAAACAATTAGGGAGCTAGCTCAGCCAAGCAAACCCGAATGGGATTTTCTACAATTGTGGTCCCGACATGATGGCATCAGCGCTCCTCGTCCCAAAACGGAACAACGAGGTTGAACCTGGACTATTATGTTCTTGGCCTGCAGGCACCGGGAAGCTGAACCCGGATCACCCAGAATAGGTGTGCCTACAAAAAACGACTGACAATGTGTAGACAGGTTATTGTACCGGACATCTATAAATCTGGCCAGTGTTTTGAACGTGGAACAACTCGAACCGGTCGCCGCAGTTGCAAAGATCTCCACATAAGACTCTCCCCTTCCATTCTTTATACCTCCTCCCGATATGCACCGTCAATCGGCTTCTCAACACGCTGGATCGTCCTATTTTCAGCTCCCTCGGACTCTTGTGCGACCTTCGTTCACCGAAGTTTCGCGTGAAGCCTTGCTCGCTGCGTCTCCAGATCTAGGAAATGTTTCTGTCGAGTTTATCCGCAAAAATCTCCTTGCGACCGCCCCTCAGTGAGTTATTTTACTTTCGAGGTTTCTATTCATTTTTGCTCATCGCATTGTATGTAGAATGCTAGCCGGCACTTCAGCTCTCTCCCCATCCCATCTTCCTAGCGTCCTCCCCAAGTCTAGCCTCCCACCTTACCTCACAGTTCCCATACGCCCCTCGCGGGACGCACATCCATCCTATCCCACCCATGCCCTTGCCATATCCAACGCATGCCCGTCCGGTCCTGATGACATGCATCTCATCTTCCCGGTCCACGCGCTGGTGCTCGCCGCCCATTGCCCTAAACTCCCTCGGCTCCCTCCCCGTGCCCCACGCGCGTCCGCGTCTGTGCACCTCCCGGTCTTGTCCCTCGCCCTTCCGTCCGCCCCCGCCTTCTCCATCTTGCACGCCTTCATGTATTCCAAGCGCCTCGACGCCGTCCTGACCGCGCTCTTCCCGATACCCCCGCAATTTCTTTGTGCTCTTACGCACAAAACCGTCCGCTCTGCGCTGCAGTCCGGTGCCGACCTCCACTACCTTTCTGCCCACCTCTGCGCCGCGTCCGCGTCAAGTGTACAGGCCCTGATGACGCACACCGCGCACGTAAAGGAGCTGTGGCAGGACATGGTGGCGCTCGGCATCGATGACGTCGCTCTCTGGGACACCGTCGAGCTCGCCTACGAGATCGTCCTCGGTGCCCTCAACCTCGCCGTCATGACAAAATGATAGCAACAGACGAAGTGTCCGATTTTCGCTTCCCGTCGCTTGATGTGCGGTCTCTTTTGTTTTGTTAATGGGATTTGTAGCATAAGGCTCTGGTAATATAAATACAATAAATACACATACATCTTCGGTGCTAAGACATGAAATCCCAGGTATCGCCGACCTTCCTAAGACCCTTCATGAAGCCCTTCCCGACCTTCTTCACCGTGGGCGGTGCTTTCAGCTTCAGCAGACTGGATGAGCCGGGGCTCGCTGGACCAGAGGATCTGGATGCCGTCGCTACAGCGAAGGATGGTGGCCGCACAGTGGGTGCCTTCTTCGGAAGCCGCTTCGCCGACCGCCGCTTTCCCTTGTATTCTCCTTTGAGTCGCTGGATG